AGGACTAGACTAGGAAGCATTTCCCTTAAGTAGTGTGTGGGGATCGGAGGGTCATTGTTATGAAACAACTGGCTCATACGCTTTGCTTACTGTTTGCATTCCCTCTTCTTGTGGTATGTTCGTGTGTAAGCTAGTAACATCCATTGATACTAAACTGGCAATTCCTGGCTTATCTTTGTTTTTTTCTATAAAATTATGAAATCAGTAGTATCCTTAATGTAGGATTGTTGCTTTGGTGTGTTGGGCTGGAGCAAAGTATCTGCAAAGGAGGATATTTATTCAGTTGGGCCGTCACAACCTGATATTATTAATCTACTGACCGGTTTTGGTTTGTGGATTTTTGTAAGTGTGTAGAAAATGGGTATTCTAGGCAGACTGGAAGTTTGGGAAACCCATTTTCTTGTCATGTCATCAATGTGTTTGTCTCAATGTAATTTGTCAATGATATTATTGACCTTTGGTTACGTGGTTTTCACCATTGGTGCTTCGAGGGGCTAATAGTGCTCTCTGTTTTGAAGCTGCACGTCAGCCTCATGTATTTTGTCTGTTTTGTTCATGATGATTGTTGTTGTTCCTTTGCCTACTTTGTAGAGGTTTATGGCAGCGTTTTTTAATTCGTTTGAAAGCTGCCATCCCATTGCATGACAAGTTTTGTTTAGGCTTTGTTAATATTTTTGATGTCAGCTAGTTGAGTTTTGACACTTTCTGAATAGCTTTCAAGGGCAACAGATTGTTGAACCGGAGGCATCCAATTCGATTTGGCATGAAAAGGATGTGGTTCTTTATTTTGTTCGTAAAAAATGTATTGGAGGGGCATTCATCTCGCGAAAAGTTCAAAATCTTGCAAGAGTTGTTGCCTAATGTTTGTTGTGTTTGTCACGGCTGTAGGGACAAATTTAAGTCCCCTTCATAGAAAGTTAACTTTGGTGTCAGTAAGCTGATGTTTTGAAAGGTTTTTGAGGAATTTCTCATTTAGTTTCCTTTTTTCAGATGCGTTTCCCTTTTCTAAAACAAAGGAAATTTTTAATAAGCAAAATCCTAACACGGTTGTTTCGTGTTAACTCCTGCTTCTTTTTTTTTCTTTCTTTCACAGCTTTGTTGGGTGCTCCTCTATTGAATACAATATCAATTTGTAGTACAACACACACACAAATAATAAAATGAGTACACAAACATTCATACAAAAAATAAAATAAATGACGAGTGGCATGGGCAGGTAGGGACTAGTGTCCACATGCAGGGGTAATTGATTTCATGTACCCGCGAAAGGTGAGTGCTCATTAATTTGCGAACAAAAAGTTGAAAGGCAGTAGGTGAGGAAAAACTGGTTGGGGGTGCTAGCTTACAAACATAGTTCCATAGTTTAACAATACGGTTAAAGTACGAGGCCTGAAAGGATGATGTTTTGCAAAAAGGGGTGGGAAGATTAAAGGAGTTACTTAGTCTTGTACGATCATGGGAAACAAAAGATACATAATTCCGAACATCTAAATCGGTACCACAGTAAAGGCATTTATAAAAAAGATCAAATCTTTGAGTTCACGATCTAGAGAAAGTGGAAGTAAGTCTAGCAAAATCAACCGCTCTTTGTCCGACGACTCGTCTTTGCGCGTGCGTAAAATCCACCTGCTTGCACGTCTCTGCACCTGTTCCACCTTAGCATTCAGAGTAACGTAAGCGGGCGACCAGACTTAGGTGGCGTAACACAGCTGTGACTTGACCAAAGACAAATAGAGTGAGCGCCTAACCAAGACGTTAGTTTTACTGTTTGAATTTGTCGTGCAGGTGTCATCACCAAAGTGGCTACAATCCTTTGGAGGGTCACAAATAATTATGGTTAATCTGTTAATAAACTTTAACTTTGTAACATATCTCTGGCTCTGGAGTCTGGACCCATTAATTGTTTTTAATGATACTATGGTTTCAGTAGCATTAGTTAGTGGACTTGAACTTAATAAGGTTGAACCTTGGTAGTATTTCACATTTAAGTTGGTAAACATATACGACTTCACAGTTTTCGGTCTGATTTATGAGAGGATCCTGCTGCAAAACTAAATATGGTTAATCTGTTGATGAACTTTAGCTTTGTAACAGTTATCTCTGACTCTGTAGTCTGGACCCATTAATTGTTTCTAATGATACTATGGTTTCAGTAGCAGTAGTTAGTAGACTTGAACTTAAGAAGGTTGAACCTTGGTAGTATTTCACACTTAAATTGGTAAACATATACGACTTGACAGTTTTCACTTGATTTATGAGAGGGTCCCATAATGTGCAAAGTGACTGTTCCAGTGCTTTCCTCCAATATACAGTTTTCTTTAACGTGAGAAGTTGTTACCATAACTTGATTTGGTTCTTTGTCCCCAAAGGACAATGTCCCAGAAACATCATCTTTCTGGTTTGTTGTAATGGCCAAGAGCTGTTTAATAGTAACGTCTGTAGTTGGCAGCTTTGGGGTTGTTGGCTCAGGTTTGGATGTAACTTGGCACTCAAAGGTGACATCAGAATTTGAACACAGATATGCTGTTGATTGGTGGTTAACCAGCGAATCACCTGCACAAGATGTACAATGACATTCTTCAGAAGAACGGGAGTTTTTGATTGTTCATAATGTTGCATATGAGTGTGAAAGGAGGAATTAAAGCTGACGACCCTGCCGACACTTTTGCCAGCTGCTTGTAGCTCGAAGTCGTATCATAGGTGTTGAATTCGTTTACTGGTCTTCACAGGGATAACGCTGTGGATGTAACTATGTTTTTTTATAACGAAAAAGACAATAAGCAGCAACCAAGAAATCAATGGGAAATAAATGATCACACAAACTTAATAGGCTAATGTATGTTTTAGCAGAACAGCACCATTTGACAGTGTAAATTGAGTTGTTTTTAACATTTTGTATAAATCCTGGCAAAGGTTGGGCAACCATAGATGTATCAGGAGTAGACAGTGGGATTCATTCCAATGATCTTCATCAAAATCATGCAATCTATTGGATAAATACTCAGGATCATCAGTCATAATCAAAGTTTCCAGCTTCTGCTGCTAGCCAGACTTTCTGATCTTTAGCTTGATGGGTATCTTTCTGGTCTCTTGACCTTCAAACTCAATTGTCTTTGTTCTGTGCTTGTTATGCACTGACACTTGTCTCTCTCCAAGACTCAGTAAATAGGCATTCCTCCATTTATTGGTAAACTGTTGTAGATGTTGATGGTGCTTGATTCTCTTTGACAATGATGTGTTAGTGCTGACAATTTCGAAATGGCCTCTATTCAGGTACCAATGATTCTGTAGCTTTTAATCTGGAGAGTTAGGGACAAAGTGTAATTGATCTCATTTTGATCGTCTTTTACGTAGTTAACGGTCTTAAGTTGATAAAATGTCCTCCATTCGGCTACCAATGATTCTGCGTCTGTCAATCAGGTGAGTTGGAGACAGTGTAAGTGATCTTACCTTGATTGTCTTTGACATACGTTAAAAGCCTTGAGAAACGTCTTCAACCCTCAAAGTTAAATTTTTCTTTTGGTGGCCATTTGGCGACCAACTCTTTAGGTTTAGTCGCCAAAGGATTTTTTTAGGCACCAAGATATATGTTGATAATAAAGTTTTAATAATTGTTAATAATTAATTTGGTCTTAAAATTGGTATTGTTCAGCCAAGATAATGTTGCTAAACGGCATTTACCGTATTCACAAGTGTATAGGGTAACTTGTAATCCATGTCGAGTACAGTAAAAACCCGCGTATAAGAACCTAACATTTAAGAACCTGTTAGGCTAAAATATCATTTTTAAGCACCCTTCATATAAGAACCATTCTTATTCTCCAAAAAAATATATATATATAGAATTAAGAAATTTTCTAACCAAAAAAAAAAATATATATATATATATATATAACACAGTCTGTATGCAATAATACTCTAAACACTATAGCATGGTTACATAAAACTTGCCCTCCTTGAATATAATTATTAAACAGAGATGCATAGGATGAACCTTTGGTTTTTATGAAATCACAGTACATGAATTCAAAAATAAATCTGTACCCATGTAGAGCAAAAGCATCTTCCAGAATGGCAATTTAAGAAGTTTCCATTAATTCACATGCATAGGATGGTGTGCTTTCTAGTAGTGACTGTATAACACTGAGCTCCATGTACTCCATTAGTACCAGTAAAATATGAATAAACATACAAATTATGTGTCAATCAATGCTAATTCCAATGTTACTGCCTGATGAATCATTAATCCCAACCTGACCATCAAGTATTTACACAACCAATTTATATGGGATTCGTTGAGTTCCAATCCAAAAATAAATACATTAAACATCATGATTCCGCAAGCGAGATGTCGCTTATGCTTAGCTCTAGTTTTTCTTTGATCTTCCTTACTAGTCTCCTGAGGTATTCTTTGTTGCTGAGAAGTCTAAAGTCCACTGGGAGTTCAAGACCTTTTCCTTGGCCAGCATTATATCTGTTCCCAATGCACTCAGCTTCGATCTCACCCTAGTCTTTAAGAAACTTGTTAAAGATTTTCGAAAGCTCTTTAGGTACATGTCCAACCATGTGTCCTGCTTCATTCTTGATCGCTACTGCATACTTATCGAAAGCATTGTCAGGCTCGCTCTCACATGTTAAAACTCCCCCAATAAACACAGTAGCATCCTTGAAATGTGCATGATAACCACGAACACTGGCTTCTATGAAAACCTGGTACTCTTGTGCCGTAGTGTGCTTAATGGATTGCTTCCAATGTATAGATATTTTGATATTTTGGCAAGCAAAGAATCGAAGAATGAGTGTGAACGAACGAGAGATGAATAACTGCTGACCCTCTGAAACGCTGGCAAAGGGCACTACAGCACTGGCACTTACGTCATTTCCTATGCTTTGTTCTAAAACTGGAAATACCCGGATGGAAAGTGACAGCTCGAGCTAGTTATCAAAACAAACACGCTCCACGTGAACCAGTGGGGCTTTACCGGCGAGGATTTCGAGCAATGAATCGTACCTTATTTGACTGTAGGATAAAGCGAAAAGTAGAAGCAAGAAATGGCGAACTGTTTGATATCACAGCCACATTACCAAAAACTGTTGGCCTGTCTAGCAAGCTGGTGAAATGTCACCATTGCAATGAATCCTTCGCAGGTCAGAAATATCTCAACAGCCACGTGAGATTCAAACATGCCGACAAGAGTTCGCTTCAAGAAAAGCCAAGTGAAGAGATCCCGCAGCCTCCGATCCCTACACTGAATGTGAATGGATCAGAGGTTTCCCATGAGGAGGATGAAGTTCTTGTTTTGGAAAGCAATCCCATCGACACAAAGAAGCCTGAGAACAGA